GTGGTTGTAGTTGTTGTAGTCGTGTTGGTGTGTAGTCGTTGGTGTAGTCATGGTGTAGTCATGTTGTAGTCATGGTGTAGTCATAGTGTAGTCGTGTTGTAGTCATGGTGTAGTCATGTTGTAGTCATGGTGTAGTCATAGTGTAGTCGTGTTGTAGTCATGGTGTAGTCGTGTTGTAGTCATGGTGTAGTCGTGTGGTAGTCATGTTGTAGTCATAGTGTAGTCGTGGTGTAGTCGTGGTGTAGTCATGGTGTAGTCGTGTTGTAGTCGTGGTGTAGTCGTGGTGTAGTCGTGTTGTAGTCATGTTGTAGTCATAGTGTAGTCGTGTTGTAGTCATGGTGTAGTCGTGTTGTAGTCATGTTGTAGTCATGGTGTAGTCATAGTGTAGTCGTGTTGTAGTCATGGTGTAGTCGTGGTTGTAGTCATGGTGTAGTCGTGGTGTAGTCGTGTTGTAGTCATGGTGTAGTCGTGTGGTAGTCGTGTTGTAGTCGTGGTTGTAGTCGTGGTGTAGTCGTGTTGTAGTCGTGGTGTTGTCGTGGTGTAGTCGTGGTGTAGTCGTGTTGTAGTCATGGTGTAGTCGTGGTGTAGTCGTGGTGTAGTCGTGTTGTAGTCGTGGTGTAGTCGTGTTGTAGTCATGGTGTAGTCGTGTTGTAGTCATGGTGTAGTCGTGTTGTAGTCATGTTGTAGTCATGTGGTGTAGTCATAGTGTAGTCGTGTTGTAGTCATGGTGTAGTCGTGTTGTAGTCATGTTGTAGTCATGGTGTAGTCATAGTGTAGTCGTGGTGTAGTCGTGTTGTAGTCATGGTGTAGTCGTGTGGTAGTCGTGTTGTAGTCGTGTGGTAGTCGTGTTGTAGTCGTGTTGTAGTCATGGTGTAGTCGTGTTGTAGTCATGGTGTAGTCATGTTGTAGTCATGGTGTAGTCATGGTGTAGTCATGGTGTAGTCATGGTGTAGTCGTGTTGTAGCATGTGTAGTCATGTTGTGTCATAGTGTAGTCGTTGTGTATGTGTTAGTATGTGTAGTCGTGTGGTAGTCGTGTTGTAGTCGTGTGGTAGTCGTGTTGTAGTCGTGTTGTAGTCATGGTGTAGTCGTGTTGTAGTCATGGTGTTGTCATGGTGTAGTCGTGTTGTAGTCATGGTGTAGTCGTGTGGTAGTCGTGTTGTAGTCGTGTTGTAGTCATGGTGTAGTCGTGTTGTAGTCATGTTGTAGTCATGGTGTAGTCGTGTGGTAGTCGTGTGGTAGTCGTGTGGTAGTCGTGGTGTAGTCATGTTGTAGTCGTGGTGTAGTCGTGGTGTAGTCATGGTGTAGTCATGGTGTAGTCATGGTGTAGTCATGGTGTAGTCGTGGTGTAGTCGTGTTGTAGTCATGGTGTGTCATGGTGTAGTCATGGTGTAGTCATGGTGTAGTCGTGTTGTAGTCGTGGTGTAGTCGTGGTGTAGTCATGTTGTAGTCATGGTGTAGTCATGGTGTAGTCATGGTGTAGTCATGTTGTAGTCATGGTGTAGTCATGGTGTAGTCGTGTTGTAGTCGTGTTGTAGTCGTGGTGTAGTCATAGTGTAGTCGTGTTGTAGTCATGGTGTAGTCATGTTGTAGTCATGGTGTAGTCATAGTGTAGTCGTGTTGTAGTCGTGGTGTAGTCGTGGTGTAGTCGTGTTGTGTAGTCGTGGTGTAGTCGTGGTGTAGTCGTGGTGTAGTCGTGGTGTAGTCGTGTTGTAGTCGTGGTGTAGTCGTGGTGTAGTCGTGGTGTAGTCGTGGTGTAGTCGTGTTGTAGTCGTGTGTAGTCGTGGTGTAGTCGTGTTGTAGTCATGGTAGTCATGGTGTAGTCATGGTGTAGTCATGTTGTCGTCGTGGTGTAGTCAGTGGTGTAGTGTGGTGTAGTCGTGTTGTAGTCATGGTGTGGTCATGGTGTATGTGTCATGGGTGTTAGTGTGTTGTAGTCATGTTGTAGTCATGGTGTAGTCTGGTTGTAGTCGTGTTGTAGTCATGGTGTAGTCATGGTGTAGTCGTGGTGTAGTCGTGTTGTGGTCATGGTGTAGTCATGTTGTAGTCATGGTGTAGTCGTGTTGTAGTCATGGTGTGGTCATGGTGTAGTCATGGTGTAGTCGTGTTGTAGTCATGTTGTAGTCATGGTGTAGTCATGGTGTGGTCATGGTGTAGTCGTGTTGTAGTCATGGTGTAGTCATGGTGTAGTCGTGTTGTGGTCATGGTGTAGTCCTGTTGTAGTCATGTTGTAGTCATGTTGTAGTCGTGGTGTAGTCGTGGTGTAGTCATGGTGTAGTCATGTTGTAGTCATGGTTGTAGTCATGGTGTAGTCGTGGTGTAGTCGTGTTTGTAGTCGTGGTGTAGTCATGTTGTAGTCATGTTGTAGTCATGGTGTAGTCATGTTGTAGTCATGTTGTAGTCCTGTTGTAGTCATGTTGTAGTCCTGTTGTAGTCATGTTGTAGTCATGGTGTAGTCATGTTGTAGTCATGGTGTAGTCATGGTGTAGTCATGTTGTAGTCATGGTGTAGTCGTGGTGGTTGTAGTCATGTTGTAGTCATGTTGTAGTCATGTTGTAGTCATGTTGTAGTCATGTTGTAGTCCTGTTGTAGTCCTGTTGTAGTCATGTTGTAGTCCTGTTGTAGTCCTGTTGTAGTCATGTTGTAGTCCTGTTGTAGTCATGTTGTAGTCATGTAGTCATGTTGTAGTCATGTTGTTAGTCATGTTGTAGTCATGGTGTAGTCATGGTGTGGTCATGGTGTAGTCGTGGTGTAGTCGTGTTGTAGTCATGTTGTAGTCATGTTGTAGTCATGGTGTAGTCATGGTGTGGTCATGGTGTAGTCGTGTTGTAGTCATGGTGTGGTCATGGTGTAGTCATGGTGTAGTCGTGTTGTGGTCATGGTGTAGTCCTGTTGTAGTCATGGTGTAGTCATGTTGTAGTCATGGTGTAGTCGTGGTGTAGTCGTGGTGTAGTCATGGTGTAGTCATGTTGTAGTCATGGTGTAGTCATGTTGTAGTCATGGTGTAGTCGTGTAGTCGGTTGAGTGTGGTTGTAGTCATGTGGGTAGTCATGTGTCATGTTGTAGTCCTGTTGTAGTCATGTTGTAGTCCTGTTGTAGTCCTGTTGTAGTCATGTTGTAGTCATGTTGTAGTCATGTTGTAGTCATGTTGTAGTCATGTTGTAGTCATGTTGTAGTCCTGTTGTAGTCATGTTGTAGTCATGTTGTAGTCATGTTGTAGTCATGTTGTAGTCATGTTGTAGTCCTGTTGTGGCGGTTGCATCTCTTTCTATTTCACTCGTTGTTGTTTTCTCCTGTAGCTTCACCGACCTGCAGCAGCAACTTCTGCAGGAACTCCAGCTGAGATCTGACCGCTGAGCAGTCTTCAGCCAAGTCCTCCACATCTGGACCCAGATCAACAGGAGGACTGAGGAAGAGGAAATAAAGAAAATTATTATTGAAGCTGGTGAAAACACACGACAGTTGGCTTTAAATAAATACTCATATATGGAACAGTGAGCTGTGGTTTCAGTGCAGATTGATGCTAAATATGTTTTGAGTCACCTTGAGGAAGAAAAGTCCAGGATGAGGTCTCCGTCTGTCCTCTTGTTCCCCGGATCCTCCGTTAGCTTGTAGCTCTCCAGATCACTGCAGGTCAATGGAAGCGTTTGTTAGCATGACTTCTATTAACACTAACAGAAATTAAACATTTAGTTTATTCCTCTCTCTTACTGCACTGTTGCTTCATGAGCTAACATTTATGAAAAGCATACAATTAGAGCTGTGGTGTGTATCTTTGACTTTTATACGATTCTAGGTGCATTTTTATAAATCTTTTACCCATTTCATTTGACCACACAGATACGACCCATATAAATGAACAATAAGGAATGTGTCAGGATGGGCCAGGAGACTAACAATAACAAAATGAATTGCTTACAATAATTAGAGAACAAAATACAACAAGAAGCACAAAACAGGCGGAGAAGACAACCAATTATTAGACAACAATGACTACAAACGTATATAACAATTGTTTTGATTGATGGTATACTACCATAGAGTGCCGCAGTGACGCGTCCTACAAACCCGGAAGTAAGTTAGCATGTTACCACTTCCGGTTCCCTCGACCAAAAAAGCAATGCAATTTCTCCATAGGATTTTGGAAAATAGCTCGAAGACATGTGGAGATTATCCGAAATGAACAAAAACGTGATCCGTCTCTTAAATGTGTCTCAACCACAGACCTGATTTCCAGCTATTTTCCTAAATCCTATGGAGGAAACTGCATTTGCTTTTTTGTTGAGGGAACCGGAAGGAGTTTACTTCAGGGTTTTAGGATGCGTCACTGTGGCACTCTATGTCCCTTAAACACAGTCCAGGCAATCTCTGGAAGGCATTATAGTATTTGTGAGCTCTGTTGTTACTTCTCTAAATTCAAATCAGCTGGATTTCATCTAAAGGAACCCAGAATAAAGATAAATAAGTGTGTTTTCTGACCTTTCGTTGTCGTTCCCCCAGCAGAGCTGCCTCATCCTCCACTGAGCCATGTGGGCCAACCCCTCTCCGTCTGCACACAGAGACACACATCACACACTCCTTATTTACAGTAAAGATATATATAATTAACACAATAAACGTGATCACAATAAAAGGCTGACATTGTGGATTTCACTGTAATTAGCACTGTGTATTTAAATCCTTTTAAGGCAAGGCAAGTTTATTTATATAGCACTTTTCAACACAAGGCAATTCAAAGTGCTTTTCAAAAAATGAAAGACATTAAGAAAAAGGCATTTAAAATCAGTCATTAAAAAGAAAAGATAATAAAATAAACATTAAAAGAAAAAATACATGGAAAAGTTACAGTGCAGTTTAAGATGTGAATAGTTCAATTAAAAGCAGCGACAAAAAGAAAAGTCTTCTTGCTGGATTTAAAAGTAGTCAGAGTTGCAGCGGACCTGCAGGTTTCTGGGAGTTTGTTCCAGATATTTGGAGCATAATAACTGAACGCTGCTTCTCCATGTTTAGTTCTGACTCTGGGGACAGAAAGCTGACCAGTCCCTGAAGACCTGAGAGATCTGGATGGTTCATCATTTAGCAGAAGGTCAGAAATGTATTTTGGGCCTAAACCATTCAGTGCTTTATAAACCAGCAGCAGTATTTAGAAATCTATTCTTTGACACACAGGAAGCCAGTGTAAAGACTTCAGAACAGGAGTGATCCACTTTCTTAGTGTTAGTGAGGACTCGAGCAGCGGCGTTCTGAATCAGCTGCAGCTTCCTAATAGATTTTTTAGTGAGACCTGTGAAGACACCATTGCAGTAGTCGAGTCTACTGAAGATAAAAGCATGGACAAGTTTTACCAGATCCTGCTGTGACATTAGTCTTTTAATCCTAGATATGTTCTTTAGGTGATAGTAGGCTGATTTAGTAACTGTTTTAATGTGACTGTTGAAACTCAGGTCAGAGTCCATGACTACACCTAGATTTCTGGCTTTATCTGTTGTTTTGAACATTGCAGACTGAAGCTCAGCGCTAACTTTTATACGTTCTGACTTGGCTCCAAAAACCATTACCTCAGTTTTATCTTTGTTTAATTGGAGAAAGTTCTGACACATCCAGTCAATGATTTGTTCAATGCACTTACTCAGTGTTTGAATTGGAGCATAGTCTCCTGGTGAAATTGTTACGTAAATGTGTGTGTCATCTGCATAGCTATGGTAACTTATTTTGTTGTTCTTCATTATCTGAGCCAGTGGTAGCATGTAGATGTTAAAGAGAAGAGGCCCCAAGATGGAGCCTTGAGGAACCCCACATGTCATATTTGTCAACTCAGATGTGTATTTACCTATAGAAACAAAGTTGTTTCTGTCCTTTAAGTAGGATTCAAATCAATCCAGAACTGTTTCCGAAAGTCCCACCCAGTTTTCCAGTCGGTCTAGTAATATGCTGTGGTCAACAGTGTCAAATGCAGCACTGAGATCTAATAATACTAACACTGAAGTTCTGCCACTGTCTGTGTTTAAGTGGATGTCATTAAAGACCTTTACAAGAGCAGTCTCAGTGCTGTGGTTTGGACGAAAGCCTGACTGGAACACATCAAAACAGTTATTTAAATGCAAGAAATTACTCAACTGTTGAAAACAACTTTTTCAATGATTTTACCTAGAAATGGGAGGTTTGATATGGGCCTGTAATTGTTCATTACTGAAGCATCTAGATTATTCTTTTGTAAGAGCGGTTTAATGACTGCAGTTTTCAGGGCCTGTGGAAAAATACCTGAGTGAAGAGACTTGTTTACTATATGAAGTAGATCTGAGGCCATGCAACGAAAAACATCTTTGAAAAATCCTGTTGGAATAATATCAAGGCAGCAGGAGGAGGATTTCAGAAGTTGAATAATGTCCTCTAGGTTTTTATCATCTGATGGAATTGTGTCATGATGTCTGAATTGATGTTAAGTGGACACAGAGACCAACACATTTTGCTGTTCCTGATGCAGAGGCACTGACTGCTTGTCTGATTTTCTGAATTTGTCAGTGAAGAAGGCAAAAATCATTGCACGCCCTGGTGGATAGAAATTCAGAGGCTACTGACACTGGGAGGTTAGTTAGTCTGTCGACGGTAGCAAACAAGGCACGTGCAGTATCCTAATAGAACATAATGCAGAAGGTGTCCTGCTATCACTTTCTAGCATGTGATAATCAGATTATAGATTAAAAACTGAAGCTAAACTGTGACTGTGAACTAAACGATAGCTAATCTGAATTTAACTGGTAGCTAAACTATAGTTTTATATCTGTTAAAATAAACTGTGAGCTAATCTAAACTACCTTTCTTAGCTACTAACTATTAACAAGAAACATATTTTAATGATAAACTAAACAGTTAGCTAACCTGAAAGCAGCTAAACTAAATGGTTAACTAATATAAACCACATTATCTCAGACGATGAACTCAACAGTTCATGATAAACTAACCGTTTGAAATGCTAACTGTTAGCTAAACTAAAATGAACTAGTTCACTGCTAAAGTGAACTGTTATCTAACCTGACTGAGACTATTTCAGCTAACTGATATATATTTACACACTCTTTAAGCTCATAACCAGTTTAGCTAACCTTAAACAACTCTCTATTGTAGCAGCTAAATATAACTGCTAGCTAACAAAACCAAGTCATCCAGCAGCTTGACTCAAATGTTTTCTAAGCTAAACAACGGCTAAGCTAAACTGTTAGCATGTTAACCAATTCGAATTGTTTAAGATGCTAAATATCTGTTAGCTAACAAACTGTTTCAACTGCTGTTTAACTGCTTAGCTGATGCTTTATTTGTTTGTGTTTACATGTTAGCTTAGCTGCCTGAAGATTGGTATTTCAAATAAAACGAACTTTTCTAACATCTAAACTGAAACAAGTTTTAGCTGCTAGCTAAACTGTGAGCTAACCTGAAACTACTTTTTAAAGCTAACAAACTGAACAGTTAGTACATCTCAAACAGACAAACAAACTATTCAAGCTACTTAACTGACATTAAAATAACCTGGGTTACATTGTTTTAGCAGCTAAATATAACTGCTAGTTAACAAAACCAAGTCATTCTGCTGCTTAACTTAAATGTTTTCGAAGCTAAACGGCTAAGCTAAACTGTTAGCTTACCTGAATCGAATTGTTTAAGATGCTAAATATCTGTTAGCTTACAAGCCTGGAGATTTGAAATAAAACAAACTGTTTAACGGCTGGCTAACTGCTTATCAATAGTTTAGCTGCCTGGAGATTATTTAAACTAAAAACAAATGTTTTTTTACAACTAAACTGTTTTAGCTGCTAAACAAATTGTTAATTTACCTGAAATAAAGTGCTGCATTGATCTGTTGGATAACATGAACTGAAATGTTTAAGCTTGTTAGATTCTAAACTGTTACTTAAATTGACCTGTTTTAGTTTCTAAATTGAACCCAAATAAAAAAAAACAATTTTAGCTGCTAATTTGAGAATATATTGCTCTGTCTGCTTTGGGTTATTTGCCTAATTTCACATTTACAGTGGGGCAAAAAAGTATTTAGTTAGCTATCAATTGTGCAAGTTCTCCCACTTAAAAAGATGAGAGGCCTGTAATGTTCAGCCTAGGTACACTTCAACTATGAGAGACAGAATGGGGGGAAAGAATCCAGGAAATCACATTGTAGGATTTTTAATGAATTAATTGGTAAATTCCTCGGTAAAATAAGTATTTGGTCACCTACAAACAAACAAGATTTCTGGCTCTCACAGACCTGTAACTTCTTCTTTAAGACCCTCCTCTGTCCTCCACTCGTTAACTGTATTAATGGCACCTGTTTGAACTCGTTATCAGTATAAAAGACACCTGTCCACAACCTCAAACAGTCACACTCCAAACTCCACTATGGCGAGACCAAAGAGCTGTCAAAGAGCTGTCAAAGGACACCAGAAACAAAATTGTAGACCTGCACCAGGCTGGGAAGACTGCATCTGCAATAGGCAAGCAGCTTGGTGTGAAGAAATCAACTGTGGGAGCAATTATTAGAAAATGGAAGACATACAAGACCACTGATAATCTCCCTCGATCTGGGGCTCCACGCAAGATCTCACCCCGTGGGGTCAGAATGATCACAAGAACGGTGAGCAAAAATCCCAGAACCACACGGGGGGACCGAGTCAATGACCTGCAGAGAGCTGGGACCAAAGTAACAAAGGCTACCATCAGTAACACACTACGCCGCCAGGGACTCAAATCCTGCAGTGCCAGACGTGTCCCCCTGCTTAAGCCAGTACATGTCCAGGCCCGTCTGAAGTTTGCTAGAGAGCATTTAGATGATCCAGAAGAGGATTGGGAGAATGTCATATGGTCAGATGAAACCAAAATAGAACTTTTGGTAAAAACTCAACTAGACGTGTTTGGAGGAGAAAGAATGCTGAGTTGCATCCAAAGAACACCTACTTTGAAACATGGGGGTGGAAACATCATGCTTTGGGGCTGTGTTTCTGCAAAGGGACCAGGACCACTGATCCGTGTAAAGGAAAGAATGAATGGGGCCATGTATCGTGAGATTTTGAGTGACAACCTCCTCCCATCAGCAAGGGCATTGAAGATGAAACGTGGCTGGGTCTTTCAGCATGACAATGATCCCAAACACACCGCCCAGGCAATGAAGGAGTGGCTTCGTAAGGAGCATTTCAAGGTCCTGGAGTGGCCTAGCCAGTCTCCAGATCTCAACCCCATAGAAAATCTTTGGAGGGAGTTGAAAGTCCGTGTTGCCCTGCGACAGCCCCAAAACATCACTGCTCTAGAGGAGATCTGCATGGAGGAATGGGCCAAAATACCAGCAACAGTGTGTGAACACCTTGTGAAGACTTACAGAAAACGTTTGACCTCTGTCATTGCCAACAAAGGGTATATAACAAAGTATTGAGATGAACTTTTGTTATTGATCAAATACTTATTTTCCACCATAATTTGCAAATAAATTCTTTAAAAATCAGACAATGTGATTTTCTGGATTGTTTTCTCTCATTCTGTCTCTCATAGTTGAGGTGTAGCTAGGATGAAAATTACAGGCCTCTCTCATCTTTTTAAGTGGGAGAACTTGCACAATTGGTGGCTGACTAAATACTTTTTTGCCCCACTGTATACAACATAAAGCAGATTCTGGTGGATTGTATCGTACATCACAGCTCTTAAATATTATTTTTGGGGATCCATACAGTAATTGTACTTTATGTGACTTTATTAGATCTAAATGTACCGCTGCGCAGGGAGTCATCCTCCGGCAGATCTTCATCCAACATGAGGTCGTCATCGTCCAGATCACAAGATTCAAGGTTTTCCAAAACGTCCTGAAATAAAGAAAAATAGAGACTTTTATTTACAGTGCTTTATTTATAAATGTGCTGTTCCCCTAGAAGACACCAGAGGGCGCCAGAGGATTGAATAATCTGATGCAGAGCTCAGAGGCAAAGGAAGCTTTCATTACTTACCTGTGGACAGAAACTTCACCTGATTTCTGAGTTTGGAAAATAACTGTTGGAACAAAATACTGAGCATGGACCCACAGCATTTTTAATTGTTCTTACTTTTTTTACTGCCTGTTGTTATCCTGACTTGTGCATTTTTTTTTAAATAATTATATTAATTATTCAAAGAAATACTGTTTTCTCCTGTTTTTTTATGTATTTTAAATATGTTATATTATTTAAAACATTTGCATTTAATTTTCTTCAAAATACTTGGCTTCATCCATTTTATTTAGCTTTTTTATTCATTTTCTATATAGATTTCGACATGTTTTCAGGAGAGAGAGGTTTTTTTTCAAGTTTTTTTAACCAAAATAAAGGTGGTTGTAACATCAGACATGTGAGACTGAGTTGATTTAATGTTAAATCAAACAGTTTTCAGCAGCAGCAGCTTCTAGAAGTGTTACCCTCGAGTTCAGACTGGGTTCAAAATGTGCAGCTCGTGTAAACGCTGACATTTAGAGCCTGTTTCTGCCTGTTCCAGGATCAGTGAGTTCTCTGCACGATGTGTTTGTCACCGACACAAGATGACCCAATCTGGAGACAAAACTGGACTAAAGTAGGACGGAGGCGTCAGGAACATTAAACTCTGCCTCCTGTTTTCAGCACAACAACAACAACAACAACAACACTCACAAAGGAATCAGCTGCTCACATGGTGACAGCCGATCAATGCTCAATGGATAATTAGGAACAAGTCAAATGATCTTGTTTGTATATTTGTATTCAATGCTGGATCCACCTCATCATTTTATTCCCACCACAGCACCGAGACTGCCCTGATCAAAATCACCAATGATCTGCTCATCGCAGCTGACTCAGGCTCCATCACTACACTAATTCTCCTTGACCTCTCTACAGCCTTTGACACCATCTCCCATAATATCCTCCTCACCCGCCTGTCTGAACTCCTTGGCCTCACTGACTCCGCCCTCTCCTTCTTCCACTCATACCTCTCGGACCGGACACAGTTTGTCACACACGCTGGCTGCAGCTCCCCCTGTGCTTCTGTCAACCATAGAGTCCCCCAAGGCTCGGTGCTCGGTCCCCTTCTATTCACAATATACATCCTTCCGATTGGTGATATCATCCGCAGCCATGGTCTCTGTTTCCACTCCTATGCCGACGACACCCAACTGTACATCAGCACAAAACCTTCTGCCCATCTCCCCCCTCAGTCACTAATCAACTGCCTCCACGAAATTAAAACCTGGATGACCACCAATCTACTCAAACTAAACAGTGATAAAACTGAGCTCATGGTTGTGGCCCCCAAGGCACTGCTCGGGAAGGTTGGAGATCTGCTCCTCAACATCGACAGTTCCATCATCTCCCCATCCCCTCAGGTCCGCAACCTTGGTGTTGTCTTGGATTCAACCCTCTCATTTCAAAACCACATCAAATCCGTTTCAAAATCAGCCTTCTTCCACCTCAGAAATATTTCAAGACTCCGGCCAGCACAAGCTGATACGTTGTTTCATTACCTCACACCTGGACTATTGTAACGGACTCCTGTCCGGGGTTCCCAGCAAAACCCTGAACAGGCTCCAGTACATACAGAACTCAGCTGCCAGGGTTCTCACACGCACCAAGCCCTGGGAGCACATCACCCCCACTCTATTCAACCTCCACTGGCTCCCGGTCAAGTCCCCGCATCACCTACAAACTCCTCCTCCTCACCTCCAAGCCCCCCCGTGCCCTCTCCCCTCAGTCCCTCACAGATTACCTCCACCCCCCGTCCCGCACCCTTCGATCCTCAGACTCAGGCCTGCTCTCCATTCCCCATTCACGCCTCTGCACCTTCGGGGACCGTGCCTTCAGTGTCGCTGCCCCCACCCTCTGGAACTCCCTCCCTGCAGAAATCCAGAACGCCCCTTCTCTCAACATTTTCAAATCAACCCTTAAAACTCATCTGTTCAACATCGCCTTCCAACAATAACTCACTCTCTCTTCCCCCCCCCCACTTACACTTCCATTTCTGCCCCCTGTTTTATGTTTATGTTTTTTATGTCTTGTCCTTGTATGTTTCTTTGTAAAACGACCTTGAGGTTATGAAAGGCGCTATATAAATTCAAGTTATTATTATTATTCTCATAAATCATCAGTAATTTGTGAGATTAAAATCCCAGAGTCAACGTTTCAGGTTGTTTTCTAGTTTATCTATGTGTGACAAGACAAATAAAACCCTCAAATGGTTCAAATATGTTTGAGCTAATTTAGCTTTTTCCTTCACACTCACGATGCTGTTGAGGTCGGAGTCGAAGCTCCCGATGTGCAGGTTGTTGCTGTTGGAGTGGATGGAGACGTTTCCCCCCCCCAGGGGCTCCAGACCCTCCTCGTCCCACAGGTAGGTCCCCCCCGACCCACAGCTGTCCGAGGGTGAGAGGTCCAGAGAGGAGCCGCCCTAAAGAGAGGGGAGAGGCTTTTATTCTGAAGGAATCCACTCATCATCCATACAGGAGATACACACAGAGAGGCTTTTATTCTGAAGGAATCCACTCATCATCCATACAGGAGATACACACAGAGAGGCTTTTATTCTGAAGGATTCCACTCATCATCCATACAGGAGATACACACAGAGAGGCTTTTATTCTGAAGGATTCCACTCATCATCCATACAGGAGATACACACAGAGAGGCTTTTATTCTGAAGGAATCCACTCATCATCAGGAGATACACACAGAGAGGCTTTTATTCTGAAGGATTCCACTCATCATCCATACAGGAGATACACACAGAGAGGCTTTTATTCTGAAGGATTCCACTCATCATCCATACAGGAGATACACACAGGGAGGCCTTTATTTTGTAGTAGTTTGTTTATAAACCTGTCGTTTACAGGAGATACACAGAGAAAGGCTTTTATTCTGAAAGGTTACACTCATACACAGAGAAAGGCTTTTATTTTTGTAGCATTCTGTATATCAGTGTATTCTGAAGCAGATACATCCATGGAGGATTTTATTCTGAAGGATCACACTCATAATCCATACAGGAGATACACACAGAGAGGCTTTTATTCTGAAGGATCACACTCATAATCCATACAGGAGATACACACAGAGAGGCTTTTATTCTGAAGGATCACACTCATAATCCATACAGGAGATACACACAGAGAGGCTTTTATTCTGAAGGATCACACTCATAATCCATACAGGAGATACACACAGAGAGGCTTTTATTCTGAAGGATCACACTCATAATCCATACAGGAGATACACACAGAGATAGATGTGTCACAGTTTCTGAGGGTGGGGCTAAACTGAGTCATTGCATATTTATAATATTTGTGAAGTTACATCATACCAGCACGACTCTTATCTTCTACTTAAACTCACCTGTCTGCCATCAATATATATTATTGTATTCTAGTCCCTCTGCCAACAGGGTTTAGATTTGGTTTGTTTGTCAGCAGGAGGAAGGTAAAACTCGGCCAAAGAGGAATTCATTACGTTATTTAAGTATTTTCTCGTAGATGTACGGCTAAAATCTCTGAAAATGTTCACTTTCTTTCTCTCAAATTAATTTAAAGTGCCGGTACCTGCTCGTGGTCCTCCTGCTGATTGGACCTCCTGCGGTGAGGGAGTCTGATGAGACGGTTTTCGGCGCACCAGTCCACGCCGTCGTCCAGGAAGCAAAGACCTGCCTTCGAGACGCCGCTGACGGCCATCTTGTCTTCTTCATTGAACCTGGCACACGATTGGTCGAGCCCCGAGTCGTCCTCGTCGTTTTTGGAGGAGAGAAGAAGTATTCCCATCCCTCCGTTTCCCAAAAAACACAACATGAGAAGAGACGGGGAATTAGGGACATTGTGGGGGAAATAAAAAGTAAAATCAGACAAAAACAACTTCTCATTTTAGAGAATATCTGTTTTATCCCATACATAGATGTTTCTTGTTAATGCAGGAAATATGTAAATGTACCCTCATACTCGTCATTTTGACATCAAAGAATTTCAGAAATATGGTACATTTCTGAAAAAACAATAACCCTATAATATAAATGACTTAAATTGCCTTTAAAGTCGCACCAACCCACTCCTAACACATCTCAAAGTGTTCTTACCGAGGTTGTCGAAGTCGTCCATGTATTCCTGACTCGTGTCGTTTCTATCCAGAGACGAGTTGGAGGAGAGGCTCATGTCCTCCAGCGTCTCCCCCAGAATCGACACCTCTCTCTGGGCTACCATCTCTGCCGACAGCCCCCTCTCTGGAGCCTCCGGGGGGCTTTCTACAAAGTGAGGGAAATTAAATATAAGAAAGTAGAAAGATACAGATAAGATGAGGAAAGAGACATATGAGGGTATATTTACATTTCAATATAAAAATATATCAAATTTTTATTTTGAAAATATATAAAGTCTACGGGAATATGTTGATTATTTTTGGAGACTTTTTTGTACGATCATAAGATGACATCAACAATGGAAGAAATTCGTGTTTTGTACGATGTTTACAAACATTATCACGTTAATAACGATTCCCACCTGGGCTGTTCTCTGTAGTCGACGGAGTCTCCACGGAGTTCCTTCTAGCCGTTGGTCCTCGGTTCACTTCCTGTCCGCTCCCATTGGCTGTGGTCACTCTGAGGGGGCGGGACTGCTTGATGAGCGACGGGCGTGACAGCCTATAGCTGATGCCGCTGGGCTTAGAGGCGGGACCAGTGCTGGGGGGCAGGAGGAGGGGCTTCTTTAGGGGCAGGAGTCCAGATTTTGATTGACTTTTGAGTTTCACCAAGACTCCTTTAGGGGGGATTTGAGCGGTGGCCATGTTGGTGGAGGAGTGAGATAAGGGGGAGGAAGGGGAGGGGGAGGGATTCAGGGTGGGGGAGGGTTGTTGGCGGACCTGAGTGAGGCTACGAGAACGGAAACGATCGTTTTCCGTTAGCGGGATCGTAGCTTTTCCCAGGCTGTCGCTGGAGTGAGATCGACTCGCTGGAGGTTTCTTTAATAACGGGGAACCGGAGCGGGAACCGGGACCAGAACCAGGTCCGGTTCCACTGCCGGGACGAGAGAAACCCGGCTGCCTCAGAGAACCGATCCGGGGTCTAGATCCAGATCCAGAAACACCCATTAGCGTAGATTTTGTTCCGTTTAAAACAGTAGATCCAGAAACGCCATACACTGCCGGTTTTATTCCATTTAACGCCGTTTTGGATACACTTTTGGAGACAGGAAGTAAGCGGGGGCTGGATTGCGGCGAAGGTGACGAAGACGAGGGGAATCCGAAGCCCCTTCCCTTTCCAGTAGAAGAAATGGCGGTTTTTCCTTGGAGGTTTAACTGATGATTGTTGTTAATAGCGGATTGAATCCCAGTTGCTCCGCCTTCCTCTTCGTTCTCTTTCCGCCACTTTGTCGGCACTCGGATGAATCCATTCTGCTTCACGGGGGTCGGAGCAGTGTACGACGAGGAGCCGTTGACCCCCGCGGGGCCCGGGTGATGGTAGAACCCGTTGGTGAGGCGGGTGTTGGTGGAGCTAGCCGTGGAAAGCGTGGAGGATTTGGGCTTCGACCCGAATTTGGGCAGCCTAGAGACCATGGTGGGCATGGCGAGGAGAGGGGGGGCGGACATCAGACCGCACCTCCTTCACCGGGGATTTGGAAATGCTAGGAGACGGGAGAGAGAGAGGAAAAAAGTGTTATCAGGTTAGCATACAGAAAAGAGCCGAAACAACACAATGCAAATCAATTGAACCTCCTTTAGCATTAGCCGTTAGCATTAGCCGTTAGCTCTGGCCAAGCAGGACTGCGCTGCCCAACGGATGGTAGCAGCGAACAGCCAACGTTGGCTAGCTCTTCTGCAGATTAACACGGATCTATTTGTTGCTCTGTTCTGAGTTTGTTCATTTATGTTTTTATATAGTTTACCCCCAATTAACTTTAAACTAGGGCTGTCAAGTTAACGCCACTAATTATTTTAACGCGATTAACGCATGTGTATTTTTTCCTCGGCCGCCCCGTAGTTTCAGAGCGCATCGAGTTTAAAATACCATCGACAAGCTGATGCTGACAGCCCCGCTCCTGCCGCCCGCTTGTGGCAGACCACACTTCCACGCTCACCGGCAGCCACCGACTGGCTGTTGGTCCTCCCAACCGCTGTTGGGAGGACCGGGAGGGTGTGTGTATGTGTGGCCCGAGCGAGCGAGAGACCTTACGTGCATTGTTGTTGTTAGCATCTGGTGCTAGCTAGCTGCGCTAACGGATATAAGGAGCTGTTTAAATGAAAACAGAGGAGCGACATTTCGCCACAACTGCGCCGAGCACTTGACTTTATGCAGGAAGCCAGACAGTGGGACATTGTACGAAAAGTCAGCACACTCAGCACGGATAGTGCGCAACATGATTGCAGCGTCCAGGCAGCTCCCGTTCGAGCATATGCCTTGAGTTGCACATAGCTCCAACGCACACACACACACACACACACACACACACACACACACACACACACACACACACACACACACACACACACACACACACACACACACACACACACACACACACACACACACACACACACACACACACACACACACACACACACCATGTGTATTGTATTATTGTATTAGGTTCCAGGTTGTTGTGTTTAATATTCATGAGAATATTTATCATTGTTCAAATGATAATAAACATTAGCATAAAGCACATTTGTCCACTCATATGATACTAAGACTATTAAAAACTTGAAAAATATTCCTCTAAGGTACATTTAGAACAGATAAAAAATGTGCGATTAATTTGCGATCAATCGCGATTAACTATTTTAATCGACTGACAGCCCTACTTTAAACACGTTTTCTTCAAGAATTCAAGATAATATCTGGGGGGCATTTATTTAAGTGTGAAGTTCAACAAGTGTTTGCAATTATCTTCACGTGTAATCTGTAGGAAATGCTGTTGAGAAATGTATGACACACACACACACACACACACACACACACACACACACACACACACACAAGCCTCTGTAATAAATAATTAACAGCGCTGACTCAGTGGAAAAATCACACGTGGCATCTCAACTGATCTGCAGCCTCCAGGCATGTGTGTGCAGAGGACACACACACGCAGAGGACACACACACACACACACACACACACACACACACACACACACACACACCCTGAGGCAGTGTAAAGGAGGCCTGCCTGTGTTCAACTGAAACACACACACACACCCTGAGGCGGTGTAAAGGAGGCCTGCTTGTGTTCAACTGAAACACACACACACACACACACACACACACACCCTGAGGCGGTGTAAAGGAGGCCTGCCTGTGTTCAACTGAAACACACACACCCTGAGGCGGTGTAAAGGAGGCCTGCCTGTTCCAGCTCTACAGGGATGGGAGTGTGTTTTAATTTCATGTAATTGTTACTTTGCAGAGTCAGCTGTTTGCAGCGACACGTCAGAGACACATTCTGTGAGGAGTTCCTTCAGGCGCTTTGCTAATAGAAGTTCAAAATGATTTTCTAAATGCACCGTTTCTCAGTAATGAGTTGTGGAAAGTGTTCACTGTTATCGGATGATGAATATATATATATATATATTTATAATGAATCTGAATGTGCCTTCTTTAAAGCCCGCGTCACACTGTCCCGAAATGGACAGCAGATGGATAAACGATAAAGGAAACGTTCAAATTCGGCTGTGATCGTAGCAACATCGGGCCATTCGTGAGGCATCTTAAGCCGTCGTATGACCGCCGGTGGAGTTTCTCAGGCTCCGGCAGCAACTTCGTGAGCGGTGGCAAAATGTTTGGCATGCCAACAAATTGCAGAAAGACCTTGAGAAGGTTCATTTTCGTGTTGAATTTGTGTGTCCATGTTGCCCTCCGTGAGGCCAGCGTGAGGGCAACCTGTCAAATCGTGTCATCTTCGTCTTTACTTCGTGTGATCATCGGTGCCATCGGGCATTTTCCGCCTCACGAAGACAATACGAAGGAAACAAGAAGCTGCCCGATTGTCTTAGGAAGGAACACGTGAAGCCCTCGCGATGAAGTTTGTTTCTAGAAAGAGATAGATTGATCTGATCTTGTTTATAAGATATATCAATTCTGACGAGAACATAGAGAACACAACGGTAACGTACGACGTAAACAACAACCTGACGTAAACAACAACCTGACGTAAACAACAACCTGACGTAAACAACAACCTGACGTAAACAACAACCTGACGTAACCAACAACCTGACGTAAACAACAACCTGACGTAAACAACAACCTGACGTAAACAACAACCTGACGTAAACAACAACCTGACGAAAACAACAACCTGTCGTAAACAACAACCTGACGTAAACAACAACCTGACGTCAACAACAACCTGACGTAAACAACAACCTGACGTAAACAACAACCTGACGTAAACAACAACCTGACGAAAACAACAATCTGACGTAAACAACAACCTGACGTAAACAACAACATGTCGTAAACAACAACCTGACGAAAACAACAACCTGACGTAAACAACAACCTGACGTAAACAACAACCTGACGTAAACAACAACATGACGTAAACAACAACCTGACGTAAACAACAACATGACGTAAACAACCTGACGTAAACAACAACCTGACGTAAACAACAACCTGACGTAAACAACAACCTGACGAAAACAACAACCTGACGTAAACAACAACCTGACGAAAACAACAACCTGACGTAAACAACAACATGTCGTAAACAACAACCTGACGAAAACAACAACCTGACGTAAACAACAACATGACGAAAACAACAACCTGACGAAAACAACAACCTGACGTAAACAACAACTTGACGTAAACAACAACATGTCGTAAACAACAACCTGACGTAAACAACAACCTGTCGTAAACAACAACCTGATGTAAACAACAACCTGACGTCAACAACAACCTGACGTAAACAACAACCTGACGTCAACAACAACCTGACGTAAACAACAACCTGACGAAAACAACAACCTGACGTAAACAACAACATTACGTAAACAACAACATAACGTAAACAACAACCTGACGTAAACAACAACATGACGTAAACAACCTGACGTAAACAACAACCTGACGTAAACAACAACCTGACGAAAACAACAACCTGACGTAAACAACAACCTGACGTAAACAACAACATGTCGTAAACAACAACCTGACATAAACAACAACATGACGAAAACAACAACCTGACGAAAACAAACCTGACGTCAACAACAACCTGACGTCAACAACAACCTGACGTCAACAACAACCTGACGTAAACAACAACCTGACATCAACAACAACCTGACGAAAACAAACCTGACGTCAACAACAACCTGACGTAAACAACAACCTGACGTAAACAACAACCTGACGTCAAAGCTGTCTCTGCCGTCTGATGCTCGGTTAGTCATCTTGCAATCTACTTTTTTATCTAAATACTTATCACCGCAATAAACCGTATTTAATTTAGTCTTAATGTACATTATGTAATTTCACATTATGTTCTTGTACATATCATATTCTATGTACCTGTATAGAGACTTCTTGCACTATTTTTTATTTGTATGTTATGATATATGCTGCATTGATGGAGGAGCTCAGGTCAGAAGAGTTTCATTTCCATTTCTACTCTGGAGCTGCTGAGCATCTGAGGAGAAAACCTTTGAACCTTCATATTTCTGGAATGATTATACCGTTTTTGAGGAACAGAAATATTGTTTTCTGGCTTCATTCTAACATTTTAAATCTACCCGGCGCAGACTTAATGGTTGCGACTTAATATTTAGAGATAATTTTCAACATTTGTATAATTTTTACATTTAAAAATCTGATTGCACGTTAAAGACAATTTCTTTCACATGGAGATTTTTTTTAAGCATTTTAAATATATTTGACATAAGAGATTGTATTTGTACACACACACACACACACACACACACACACACACGCTGCCCACGATGAAGCAGAACATAAAACAGAAGCAGTGTTTTGTCCGCCCCGGGCCACCGTACATCACGAACCAAACATCACGAACCAAACATCACGAACCAAACATCACGCGCTCCTTCCAAAATTTAAATAATAAATATATTTTAAAAACTGCTGCCGGGTTTTTATGAAAGAAGAAAGGGAAGTGTAACAGCCGGAGAAACTTGTGATGAAACCTTTCTGAAGATCATCTGCACGTCCTGGAGGGTTTCAGAATAAAAGTCCACAGAAACAAAGATGTTTTTTACTGATATGAAGTTTTATAACCTGCTGAGAAACAGGAGCATAAGTTCCTCCTCTTATCTGAAAGAAAAGAGGAGAAATATTCTGGGAAAGATAATAGATTATTATCATTAAAGGGAAAATACCATAGACATACAGTCAAATGGACGTAGTGTCCGTGACGTCACCCATAGGTTTCTGCAGAGTTGTTGAGAAGCCCTTAGTGGGCGGAGTCGGCCATCAAAGTGACCACGCCCTAATTTATGCAAACAATTGAAGACCTAATTTAAAAGGGTCGCGTTATAAAACAATTCACTCCCCAATCCATAGTCATGAAGGTGGAGTCTAACTATATCCAGAATAATTGTGGATATGTAAACATGGGAGTCTATGGAAACTGCTCCTTTCTGCAGCCATCCCCTATCAGCCATT